CAAAAAATAATTTTTTGCTAAAAATAAAATAAAATAAAATAAAATAAAATAAAAAGGTATTATAAAGAAATACCAATTTAATAATTTAATAAAGTTGGTGTTTTGAGAAAAGTATTTAATTTTTTAATTTTGTAAAGGGTCAAGTCAAAAAAACGCCCCGATTATCAAACACGTTTTATTGTTTTTTTTTTAAAACAAAAATAGAAACGGCAAAAATACCACGGTTGCCAAACGCTCCCTTAGTTTTTTTACGACTCTATTCTATAAATTTAAAATTTTAAGATATTATTCTCTAACAAATATATTTTATGATGCTTCTGTGAAATTACTATTTTTTAAAATATTATCTATACACAATTTGGTTCGTTTCATTAATTAGTGCAACAAATTTGATGTCGATATCTGAATTGATGATTTCTATATTCTCTTATGCATTAATTAGTGCAACAAATTTGATGTCTATATTTGAATCGTTGCATAAATCATTGGAATAAAATGACCTTCTATATTCCCCTAACAAATTTGATGTCTATATTTGAATCGTTGCATAAATCATTGGAATAAAATGACCTTCTATATTCCCCTATGCATTAATTAGTGCAACAAATTTGATGTCTATATTTGAATTGTTGCATAAATCATTAGAATAAAATGACCTTCTATATATATCCCCCTATGTATTCACTATTTCCCTATTGTATTCACTCTTTTCCTTAAAAAAACTAATATAAACTAGATTGGAGCCAATTATTTGAGCCGTAGGAGGCTCGTGATTTTGTTGCGTACTCAGTTTTTGACAGTAGAGTGTGTGTGCATGTGTGATAGAGGGGGAGAGGGTTTATAAACTTAGTGAGGTAGAAGGAGGGAGAATTGAATGGAGGGGATTAATGTTGTCAGTGCACCAACCTTTGCAGTGTACTTATTGATTTGGGTTGGTAATCAATGGTTTTGATTTCTTTTAGTCTGGAAATAGAAATGTGTGTTTATCTAGAGGCGTTTGGAAACAGAAAAGTAAATATTGACAGAAAAGTAATTAATGTAAAGTCGGCCAAAATTAGAAAAGAATGCTTTGAATTTCTATCTTTTTTCTTTTTTGTTTGATTGATAGCTCAAAATGTTAGTTAAAAAAATAAACTGTGACGCACCTATCCAAAAGGAAAACAATGCGAGAACACATTAAGTTGTCACCATGACTTTTTAAAAAAAAAATACTTTATCGTAACACGAACTGGTGCACACTAACTAGATATAAGATATAATGCATTTTCTATGATTATATGATTATATTTATTATATATTTAATTAATTAGCATTCAATCTGTTGAGAGAGTACAAATCATCTTAGAACGTACCACATGCATGAGAGCGGGGTGTTCTCAATCATTTGTGAGTTAGTCAAGGAAACAACTTTTTAGCGGTGTGTTACTGACGGCGCGGCGGACGACGACTGTTGGTGGCGCGGTCGGACGGAAGCCCGACCGGCGGGTGGGCGCGCGGCAGCTGCGGCGGCGGCGATAGACGGTGGCCTGACGACGGAGGGCGGCGGCGCGCGCCGAGACACCAGCCTATCACCCCCTCTTTTTTCCATCCCCCTCATAAACACCCCACAATGCTCTCTCTCTCTCTCTCTCTCATCTCCACGTCCGCCCGCTTGCTTTCACCTCCACCCGCCGCAGCCTGTCTGGCAAACCCACGCCGCAGGCCTGTCTGGCAAACCACGCCGCCAGCCTGTTCGGTCTCCTCTCGTCGCTCCCCATGCCACCGCCGCTGCTTCCCCACGCTGTCGCTGCCTCACGCCACTCAAATCACTAATCACTATACATTGGTTATTACCTTCTTCATTTGTTATCCCGTCACTCAAATCACCAATCTCTCATTTTTCTTCTTCTTGTTTCAGGCCATCTCCAATCAAGCCCTCCCCCAATTCTATCTCCGATCCCATCCTCCCCTATTTACAGCAAGCGATCTATTTCACTGACCCACTTCAATTTCTCAAATGGGCTTTTGATTTTGTTGATTTTGGTTCAATTTTCAGGTCAATAAGCAGTGAATTGGGCGAATTGGAGAGAAACCCAGATGGGGCGGATCAAAAGCTCAAGGCCCTCTTGGAGGATTGCGTTCAGAGGTTCTCTGGCGATCGTTGGTACCAGAACGATGTCAGGTTCCTCAAGACCTGGATCCTATATGTAAGCCCCTCTTCTAGAATTGAAAACCCTAGGTGGTGATTCCTGATATAACCTAGGATTTGAAGTCTCTAATGCTGAAATTTTTTGTATTTAGTGAAGAATAGTAGCTAGTTAGTTGCTTTTATATTAGTCGTTGCAACAAACATGATTAGTTATCCAGGATAAATGGTCAGTTACGTAAAACATGTGGTTATTCTGGAAGTGAAGAGAATTTTTCAGAAGTATTCACTTCTTTACGAGGCATATGCCCTTTTCCTTGTCCCCAAAGGGAATTTGGTGGGAGCTAATGAAGTTTATGAGCTGGGGATATCCAGGTTTATCTCTTCTTTGGTTTTTGGTGTATTAATATGTTAGCAACTAGGTAAAATTTAACTGTATTGAGAAGTTTTTTCGTAATAGGAAAGCAGAACCTCTGGATAGGCTGAAGAAGATGCATGTTCTGTTCCAGGAACAAATGTCGGAACTTGCTCAGAAGCCTGTTCCTGAAACAAAGGCATGTAAATCTCAACTTGTTTCGTGTCATTTTATGTTGTTCAAATTTCTAGGACCATTTTGCTCATTGGGAATTTGGAGCGTCAAAAGTATGAGGAACAATGCTATCAAAATCCAGTCTACTTTGAGTATGTGCATATGAATTTGTAAATCTATATTAGATGCAAAGAAGTTATTAAACGCATAAATTTATTTTAACTACCACAATATTCTACCAATCAAAACCCTAAAGGAATAATTTATATACTATGTCAATATTGAATTCTCTCTTCTGTACACATCCAAGTGAACGATTGTTGAACTACTGGCAATCAAGTCATGTCAATCGTGTATTAGAGAAGTGACCTTCTACTATCAATTATTGGTGGCTACCTTGTGAACATGTGATATACTATGCGAGGTTTAATGACGCTGCCAAATATCAAGGGAATGAGGGAATGTATCATAATGTATTATAACAGAGCAACTTAATAACTATTTTATCAAAAACTTGCACGAAACATGGATGGTCCAGCTTCAAGGTGTAGTCATTAACTTGCCTGTTCAAGTTTGTAATGTGGGTCTAGTTTGGCAAAATTGAATGATTTCTTCCTTAGTTTATCATTACTTGATTGCTCAGCTTCAGAATACCATACCTATATACTACTGTCTACCAATGTCTTGAACCTTCCATACACTATGAACTTAAAACTACTGCAGCAACAACCCAAATATTTTCAGGTTTCCTACATGAATCCTCTTGTTTTCGTTCAGCTATAGTAAGGGCCATATAGTATTTTCATGTGCTAAACTAGTGTCAGTTAGTTAATACCATGTCTTTCCCTTTCTGTGTAGTTTAGGTCAAACTTAGTATTAGCCACTCCTTTAATTATGATCCTGGTGGCGCAAAGTGGGGATCTCGCTGCTGTTAGGGGGATTTTGGGGGAGATTGATTCTCAGATGACGGGGACCGGGGTTGAGTTTGACGCAGAGGTAGGTTTTCCTTTTGGATTCTCTGGTTCTAGGTCATGGATGATTAAAATCATGCTGAAAATATGAGGAAGTTCTACTAATTGATTAGCTTGCATATTTCATTTTCAGGATGCTATTGATATGCAAACATGATAGTTTTTCCTTTTGAATTCTATAAGTAAGATGCTAGATTTGCTGATGTGAATGTCACCTTTAATGTAAAAGGTCTGACCTCAATTAGCTATGCAGCGCTCAGGTGAAAATGTAGCACTCATGTCAAACTGAGATAGTGCTGAATAATGGTTCTTAGTTTATTTTTTCATGAATAAAGTTTAGATTATTTATTTATGAACAAATGATGCTTTCAGTGACTTTTAGTAATGGAAAATAAAGATAGTGTTTTATGGTGTATCATTCAAAGAAAATATGTCTGAATAGAATGTCTTAAAATGTTTTGTATCTATGTTTAGGATGTGTAACTTTAATTATGATGAAAATGTACTACTACTCCCAGTACGATTGTACTATGATATTAATGAATGTATAAATGTGGAGATTTTATGGTTTTTTTTTTCAATAGGGAAATATTAAAACTTGTGGTTCTGTCCCTCTTTCGCACATGGAGCAGGCTTACTGCAAACAAAAGGAGCAAATGTCTTAGAAAATGGTATACATACAATATGCTAATATTCATGATCATTATTTAGTGTATCATTTTTTGTAGTAGTGCTGAAGACAATGATTAAGAACTAAGGCTGCTTGAACCTCTCTTTTCTGAAATGGAAACCAGTTGTTAAAAAAAGGCTCAGAATGTGTACATGGATTGCTCTCAATGTTGTTGTTAATCCAGTAATCAATATTTTGATTTCCCTACTAGTTCTTTCGCAAAGTTAATGCTTTCTAAGTGTATTTCATGGCATGGACTAATTGATGTTGAATTTTGTATAACGTAGGATCAAGGAGGAAGAAACATGAGCTTGTTGAAGAAACATGATGCTTCAACAACTTGGAGGAGTAAATGCAATTGGATTCTATAAATTATGCAAAGTTCATCAAGTTATGTAAACAATTGTATTCTTTATTATCTATGTAAAGAATTTATGTATCTCTCTAGTATTTTGGTGAATGTATTATTTGAATGTAATTATATTTGATATTGAAATATAATTAGATCGATTGTGTTGGATATGAATATGATTTGGTGTTGTGCAATATTGTGTACACGTACATAAAAACCCTAAAGGAATAATTTCTATACTATGTCAATATTGAATTCTCTCTTATGTACACATCGAAGTGAACGATTGTTAAACTACTGGTAATCAAGTCATGTAAATCGTGTATTAGAGAACTAACGCTATACTATCAATTATTGGTTGCTACCTTGTGAACATGTGATATACTATGCAAGGTTTAATGACTTAGAAGGCTGCCAAATATCAAGGGAATGAGGGAATGTATCATAATGTATTATAACAGAGCAACTTAATAACTATTTTATCAAAAACTTGCACGAAACATGGATGGTCCAGCTTCAAGGTGTAGTCATTAACTTGCCTGTTCAAGTTTGTAATGTGGGTCTAGTTTGGCAAAATTGAATGATTTCTTCCTTAGTTTATCATTACTTGATTGCTCAGCTTCAGAATACCATACCTATATACTACTGTCTACCAATGTCTTGAACCTTCCATACACTATGAACTTAAAACTACTGCAGCAACAACCCAAATATTTTCAGGTTTCCTACATGAATCCTCTTGTTTTCGTTCAGCTATAGTAAGGGCCATATAGTATTTTCATGTGCTAAACTAGTGTCAGTTAGTTAATACCATGTCTTTCCCTTTCTGTGTAGTTTAGGTCAAACTTAGTATTAGCCACTCCTTTAATTATGATCCTGGTGGCGCAAAGTGGGGATCTCGCTGCTGTTAGGGGGATTTTGGGGGAGATTGATTCTCAGATGACGGGGACCGGGGTTGAGTTTGACGCAGAGGTAGGTTTTCCTTTTGGATTCTCTGGTTCTAGGTCATGGATGATTAAAATCATGCTGAAAATATGAGGAAGTTCTACTAATTGATTAGCTTGCATATTTCATTTTCAGGATGCTATTGATATGCAAACATGATAGTTTTTCCTTTTGAATTCTATAAGTAAGATGCTAGATTTGCTGATGTGAATGTCACCTTTAATGTAAAAGGTCTGACCTCAATTAGCTATGCAGCGCTCAGGTGAAAATGTAGCACTCATGTCAAACTGAGATAGTGCTGAATAATGGTTCTTAGTTTATTTTTTCATGAATAAAGTTTAGATTATTTATTTATGAACAAATGATGCTTTCAGTGACTTTTAGTAATGGAAAATAAAGATAGTGTTTTATGGTGTATCATTCAAAGAAAATATGTCTGAATAGAATGTCTTAAAATGTTTTGTATCTATGTTTAGGATGTGTAACTTTAATTATGATGAAAATGTACTACTACTCCCAGTACGATTGTACTATGATATTAATGAATGTATAAATGTGGAGATTTTATGGTTTTTTTTTTCAATAGGGAAATATTAAAACTTGTGGTTCTGTCCCTCTTTCGCACATGGAGCAGGCTTACTGCAAACAAAAGGAGCAAATGTCTTAGAAAATGGTATACATACAATATGCTAATATTCATGATCATTATTTAGTGTATCATTTTTTGTAGTAGTGCTGAAGACAATGATTAAGAACTAAGGCTGCTTGAACCTCTCTTTTCTGAAATGGAAACCAGTTGTTAAAAAAAGGCTCAGAATGTGTACATGGATTGCTCTCAATGTTGTTGTTAATCCAGTAATCAATATTTTGATTTCCCTACTAGTTCTTTCGCAAAGTTAATGCTTTCTAAGTGTATTTCATGGCATGGACTAATTGATGTTGAATTTTGTATAACGTAGGATCAAGGAGGAAGAAACATGAGCTTGTTGAAGAAACATGATGCTTCAACAACTTGGAGGAGTAAATGCAATTGGATTCTATAAATTATGCAAAGTTCATCAAGTTATGTAAACAATTGTATTCTTTATTATCTATGTAAAGAATTTATGTATCTCTCTAGTATTTTGGTGAATGTATTATTTGAATGTAATTATATTTGATATTGAAATATAATTAGATCGATTGTGTTGGATATGAATATGATTTGGTGTTGTGCAATATTGTGTACACGTACATATGATATTATATAGCTTGCAACGTAGATTTCTGTAAAAAAAACTCTGTAGCATCGCTACCTAGATGGAATTTTCGTCTAGGCTGCTACAGTAACAACCTAGGCGGTTACTGTAGTAGCAACCAAGACAGTTATTGTAGCAGCATAGACGGAAATTCCGTCTAGGTTGCTACAGTATCTGCCTAGACAGATTTTCAAATTCCGTCTAGGTTGTATTCTGTCTAGTTTTGTCAACCTAGATGGAATTCTGTCTAGTTTGATTCAAACTAGACGGAATTAATCTAGACGGGGTTCCAAGTAACCTAGACGGAATTTTCTGTCTAGATTGTGTGTTATTCTACTAGTGTTTTATTCAAGTCGAGGAATGTTTTTGGTTTTTTTGTTAAGTTTGAAATTAAAGCAATTTAGACTTATCAAATTCTTGTTTGGAGAATTTTTTTAAAGGAATCACACTACAAAGAAGTGTTTATAACACCATTCAACAGGTAATATTTGTTGTTAACTCATTGAATGAATTATATTAAACTTATTAAATTATTACCTCATTATGTCCAAAATATTACTCATGTTTGTAAAATATATTTTGATGGATAATATAAATTGCATTACTTAGTGTTTTTAATGTAATATTAGTAGTATTGTTGAAAGTACAAAAAATCATTTGATCAGTTTGTACTATTGGAAATCTTATAACTAAAGTAAGAATTAATTGCTTGAGCTATTTAATACGCTTATATGTAGAAACGGCGATGACAGTGTTGAAGTTCAGGAAATTTGACGAAGGAAATAGTTTGGAGGCTTCCCGGCCGATCGCGACCAATGGTACGGTCGACCGGAAACGTGCACGAGTACAGGGCAGTTTCAGGATTTCTGTTCGGTCGATCGCGAAGACTTCAGCGGTTGACCGCGGACCCTGTAACAGAATTTTTGGTTTCTTTCGTTCTGTTCGGTCGACCGCGATGGTTTCGACGGTCGACCGCCAATCGAGTTTAGGCCTGGGCTTCGTTTCCTGTTCTGATTTGGTTTGTGTTTTGATATATATTGAAACACACGTTTTTAGGGTTAAGGTAAGGTTGAAAAAGGGTTATTTGGTGCACAAAAAAGAGAGTTTTCTAGACAATTTATTTGGGTTTGTGTGAGAGATTTGAGAGATTTTGAGTGATTTTGTAGTCTCTATTTGTACTCTCTTCTCTATTAGTGAAAACTTATCCCCTTCTTGCCCTGTGGACGTAGGCAACTTGCCTAACCACATAAAATTTATTATTTGTGTGTGTGCTGTTAATTTTGTGTTTGTGTGACCTTCTCTCTTGGCGACTTCGTGTTACCTCGGACCCCACAGAGAGGCTTCATAGCCCAACAAGTGGTATCAGAGCACCAGCTTACGCTTGGGTTAGGTGAAGGAGTAGATCACTTTGGAAGCTCGTCTAGGGTTTCAATTGGAGACAAGTGTGGGGTTTTTACTATTGTAGATTTTATCTTCCGTCGTGTGAGAGTGAGATCTTTTGGAGGCTCTTGTTAAGGTTTCAATTAGAGGTAAAAATCTACCTTTCTCACAGTTTGGATTTATTTTTTAGTTTGTTCTGCATTGGTTTGTTGGTGTTTTGAGGAAGATGGCTGGGAAAGAAGGTGTTGAGAGTGATACTTCTGGCGTGAAGACCGTTCAAAGTTTAAATATCCACTCTATGAAGATAGATGTGGAGAAGTTTAATGGCATGAACAACTTTAGCTTATGGAGATGTGAAGTTTTGGTTGCGGTGAACGCACAAAATTTGGAAGACACTTTGGAGTTGGACGGCAAGCGAGACGACATTGAAAAAGATTTGGAAGAAGATGAATCGGACGGCGTATGACGTGATTAGGTCTTGTTTAATGCATGATCTAAAATATGATGTGATCAATAAGACTTCTGCAAAGAAGATTTGGGAGATTCTTAAAGTCAAGTATTTGACGATGAGTGTTAAGAACCGCTTGCATTTGAAGAGGAGACTTTACCGTTTCCAGTTGAAGAATAAAATCTTAATTAGTGATCACATGAACAACTACATGAAGCTTCTTACGGATTTAGCGAATGTGGATGTCATGATCGAGGATGAGGACAAGGCATTATTGTTATTGAGTTCCTTGTCTGATGAGGAATATGAGACCTTCGTTCTTACCCTAATTAATAAAAAAATATCTCTTTCGTATAGTGAGGTTACCACTGCTCTTGTGATTTATCAACTAAGAAAGAAGGACAATGAGTCTTCAAATGATACAATAGCAGAGGTATTAACCGTAAGAGGGAAAAGTCCAAACCAAAATAGGAGGTCGCAGTCTAGAGGAGCACATCCTTCAGTTGGTAGAAATCAATGTTCTTTTTTCAAAGAAGATGAACATTGAAAGTCTGAATGCCTAAAGTTGAAGGATAGAGCCTGGAAGAATAAGGAAAAATCGTACAATCTTCAGAGGTGAATGTTGCCAAAGCTAGTGGCTACAATTTAGATTCAGATTCTTCTGACTACTCATACCCAGCACTACCGTCAGTTTGTTATGTCAACTCTACGGAGTGGATGTTGAATTCGGGTGCTATATACCATATTTGCCCTAGGAGAGATTGGTTCTCCAGCTTTGAGGAGTTGGAAAGAAGGGATGTCGTGCGCATGAGTAATAATCACGTATGCCCTATTAATGGATTGGAACAGTTCGAATCAGTATGTGTGATGGGGTAAGTAAGGAGCTGAAGAAAGTGAGATTCGTTCCGCAGTTAACAAAGAACATCATTTCACTTGGAACTTTGGAGGCAACAGGCTATGGGATGATCTTAGAGAATACAATTTTGAAGGTCACAAAGGGGTCCATAATTGTGATGAAGGGTGTTAGGAAGAATAACTTGTACTACTTGACTGAAAGTACAGTGACAGGTGGAGCGCTAGCGACTTCTATTGATTCGGCTAGACCGTGGCGTTTGAGGCTGGGACATTCTAGTGTTGGTTCTTTGCAAGCTTTGGATATGCAATGATTGGTGAGAGATGCTTTGACCTGCAATTTGAAGTCCTGTGAGCATAGTGATGTGAGCAAGAAGACCGAGGTGAAGTTTGATATCTCTATTCATCGAGCTAAGGGTCTTCTAGATGATGTTCACGTGGGCATTTGGGGGTCTTCCAAGAAGGCATCATTGGGAGGTAATAGGGATTTGGTTTTCTTTGTTGATGACTGTTCTAGACATGTTTGGGTTGCAACTAAGTTCCATTTGAGTTCCTAGTAGTCAACAACTGGTGGAAGAAGTGTATAGAGATCAAAAGAGACAGTAAGGACAGAGTACTCCATTTTGATTTTGGTGGGAAGTACAAGAGGATCCATTTCTGCATTTGTGCCGAGCTCAAGGCAGTTTGAGACGTTTTATTGGAAAGAAAATATTGAGGCAACGAGACGAGGTGGTAAATTTGATGAGCTGTTCCTTGCTGGAGAAGGATCAATGTTTGGTGTCAAGCAGTAGTTTGAAGAAGAGTTTTGGTACTGAGGCTTTGATATATTCGAGCCATCTTATTCATAGGTTGTCGTCTGCTGCGATTAGAGTATTTGGGTCTGTTAGAGCTGCTTCAGTTTTTTGGTTTGCTTCGGATATTTGGGTTCTCAGCATATTGTCACATCGAGGATGTGAAAATTGATCCGAGTGCATATTTGGAATTCTGAGGCATGTTTGGCTACATGTTATGGGACTCTATTTTCAAGAAGATTGTTCTAAGCAGTAATGTCACGTTTGACTCTCAGTAGGTGGAGAGTGTTGGACAGATCATAGATGTATTGCAGTGGGTGGAGAGTGATGTTACTTCACGTTGGGTGGAGATTACTTCACATTCTCCAGATCATTCTGTATCGTTTGGAATTCTAGCTGATGTGACACAGATTAGGAATCATGTTGGTGTGGATACAGATGATGAGTTCGAAGACCAAGATTCAAGTACAGCAGGTGGACACAGTTCAGATTTGGCTATGGTCGTTGGCTCACATCAGGTGGAGGTGTTTGGTAATTGTGTTTCTTCTACATATAGGGTTGAGGAGTTAAGCTCCAAGACAGATTTTGTGTGGAGAGATGTAAGTTTGGAAGATAGTTTATCTTTTCACTTTGAGGTTATTAGAAGTGTTATCAGCTACAGATTTGTTGGTGATGATCATGAAGTAGGTGAAGGGTTGAAAATCCTTCTAGTTGATTGAGGGCTTTTGGAGGCCATTTGGGTGAACTACGTGAGGCTTGATTCCTTGGGCAAGAGGATACGTATGCAGTCATTTTGATGCAGCCAATTTGATGAGTTGATACCAACATTTTGGAGTTTGTTCACATTCTTGTCTGGGTTCTTGACTTATTGTGGATTGAGTCTGTTGTCATGGATTGTTTCTACTTCGTACTGGACGCAACAAGTGGGACGTTTGGTTTGGTTGTTGTCGGCTCAGCTTTGGGAAAACTTCGTCGAGGTGGAGAATTGTAGAAACGGCGATGACAGTGTTGAAGTTCAGGAAATTTGACGAAGGAAACAGTTTGGAGGTTTTCCGGTCGACCGCGACCAAGGGTGCTGTCAACCAGAAACGTGCACGAGTATATGGTAGTTTCAGGATTTCTGTCCGGTCGACCGCGATGGCTTCGACGGTCGGCCACGAACCCTGTAATGGATTTTTTTGGTTTCTTTCGTTCTGTCCGGTCGACCGCGATGGTTTCGCCGGTCGACCGCCAATCGGATTTGGACCTGGGCTTCGTTTCCTGTTCTGATTTGGTTTGTGTTTTGATATATATTGAAACACACGTTTTTTAGGGTTAAGGTAAGGTTGAAAAGAAGTTATTTGGTGCACAGAAAAGAGAGTTTTCTGAGCAATTTGTTTGGGGTTTATGTGAGAGATTTGAGAGCTTTGTTTGAGAGATTTTGAGTGATTTTGTAATCTCTATATGTACTCTCTTCTCTATTAGTGAAAACTCATCCCCTTCTTGCCTCGTGGATAGGGGTGCTAAACCGTATCCATATCCGAGAAAAAATTCGTAACCGTATCCGTTAGGATACAAATATGGTTACTCAAATCTATAACCAATATGATATGATTACGGATATGGTTTTGTAGTGAAATATCCGTAGATTTGAGAGCTTTGTTTGAGAGATTTTGAGTGATTTTGTAATCTCTATATGTACTCTCTTCTCTATTAGTGAAAACTCATCCCCTTCTTGCCTCGTGGATAGGGGTGCTAACCCTTATCCATATCCGAGAAAAAATTCGTAACCGTATCCGTTAGGATACAAATATGGTTACTCAAATCTATAACCAATATGATATGATTACGGATATGGTTTTGTAGTGAAATATCCGTATCCGTATCCGAAATATCTGAATACATATAAGTCATACTCTTATAATAGTTTCGATTCTTAGATTGTGGATTTTGTGGTTAATTTTGATGATCAAGATGTCTAATATTAACTTTTCAATTATAATGGACATATTAGCAAACTCTTTTGTATCACATGAACTATATTTTTCTCAATACTATCTAGTTTTCTCATATCCGTTTTGTATCTACATGCATATCCGCTTATATATCCGCATGTATATCTGTAACCGTATCCGATTTTAGCGGATATGGTTATAAAATTTTCTTATCGAGGTATATCTGTATCCGTATCCGTATCTGAGATGGGTAAGCGGATATGGATATGACAAGCATCATATCCGAGCCGTATCCAGACCGAATGCACCCCTACCCGTGGAGGTAGGCAACTTGCCGAACCACGTAAAATTCGTTGTTTGTGTTTGTGCTGTTAATTTTGTGTTTGTGTGACCTTCTCTCTCGGCGACTTCGTGTTTCCTCGGACCCCAAAGAGAGGCTTTAGAGCCCAACATTATACCGTTATTGTAATTAGCACACTCTGTCATGAAACATTTTCTCAAACACTAAATTCTACATCATGTCCATATCTATTGATTTCAACTTACCATATCCACATCGTTTTTTGATAAATAAATTGCAAAAAAAAAAAGGATTCAATGAAGGATGATTTTTCTATTAATGTTTCATAAGTGGTAATAATATAAGTATGTGAAAATATTAGTTGGCATTTAATTTTTATCTTATATGGTTCCTTAACATGAATAACGTGCAACTCACGTTTTGCATACTAGTAATAAATATAAAAGAAAAGAACAGACGGTTTCAAAATAAATTTTCACCCATTGATTCATGATGATAAATGGGTAAAATATTAATGCTCTTGATCAATTCTTCTCTTCTCTACCGTTGAATTTGAGGGAAATAAATCAGACCATTTTGGTTGTAAGTTCTTCTCTCCTCCCTCGGTTTCCCCCTAAAACAAATTTCCAAACGGAATTAACTGTTCGTCTCCCTTCCTTGTCATCCATTAACATGGAAGACTAACTACAATTAGCTTTAATTAGGGGGAAACAAGTTAAGAGATTTGGTATCTAAGTGAACAATGTGAATATTTCGGGGTCTAACATACAATTAACCAATCCCTGGGGTTGTAATATGACAAAATATCCTTGCTTCTCTGATGTTTTCAAATCATATTCTAATAATCCTTTCCGTTGGAGATGCTGAGGTTGATTATCAAGAAGAAAAGTTGGGAGAAATACTATGATCATCAACTTTAACGGGGGGAAAAATTCCTATAAAGGGTTTTCTATTAAAAAATGTCATAGAGATTTTTTTAATCCTTTCCGTTTGAGCTGCTGAGGTTGATTATCAAGAAGAAAGTTGGAGAAATACTATGATCATCATCAACTTTAACCGGAAAATTTTTTCCTATAAAGGGTTTTCTATTAAAAAAAATGTCATAGAAAGTAAGTGTATAGCACAACAGATTTAACTACCTATATTAAAATTAACGATTACAGTGATGTTATTTATTTTATGTTAATTTATATTTAGTAGTATATGCTTTATCACATTCTATTTAGTAGTATATGTTAATTTATAATTTATATTTAGTAGTATGATGCATATAATTATCGTTAAACATAACGTCAATATCGGCCCGTCTAGCTCAGTTGGTAGAGCGCAAGGCTCTTAACCTTGTGGTCGTGGGTTCGAGCCCCACGGTGGGCGCGTCCTCTTATTTTTTTTTTATGTTTTGAAGAAATTTTTTAACAATATTTATATATTATTAAAGATATTTTCAGAAAACGGTACTGTATTTTTCATGTATATCTATCTACAATATTGACCCATTATAAAAATTCCTCCCAAGAAACTCCCCTATGAAGCAAAGGACTAGAAAAAGGGTTTCAAGCCTAGACCTGTCCAAACGGGCTGGTCCAGACTTGTCGAGCCCGAATTTGAGGGCTTGGGCCGGGCAAAATGCTTAGCCCGGATCCAAGGTGCCCGGGCCGAGCTAGTCTGGATTTATTTATTTATTTAACAAAAAATTATTTAAAAATTAGATTAATCTTATTTTACTTATATAAGTATCTATTAATATACTTACATATTAGTATATAGCTATATATATTATATATACATATATTATATGTAAGTATAATGTACATACTTATAAGTTATAACTTGAGAGAGAGAATCACATAAGTATATATTACTTACTTATAATTATGTATTAAATAATTATATGTGTATTTGTTAGATTCTTATAATATGCTTATTAAAGTATATTTATATAATTTATATATATGAAAAATATAATTATACTTATGTACTTATATAAAATATACTTATATAAGTGTATAAATATACACATATAAGTATACTTATAACTACATTATATATACTTATATTTTAGTATATCTACCCTGGTAAGAGTATACATATAAGTATATAATATAATATATTTGTATACTTACAAATGTATATACATAGTTGTACGTATATTTACTTTCGTACTTAAATATATACAACTATATACACTTAGGACTAAGAGAGGCTACGACCATTTTTCTCAAAAAAAATTATATACACATAGAAATATATATAAATATGCATTAATGACCATAATCTAATATAATTATATCCAAGATATATATATATATATATATATATATATATATAGAGAGAGAGAGAGAAATATGGAGAAACTTGGTACCAAGTTCCTACATTAAACTTGGTAGTGAGGTGGCCAAATCACTCCCCTACCTAGTGTCGGGTTTCACCAATACAACTGGGGCCGGGAGCCTGGTCGACCCGGTTTGTATGGGCTTTTCCCAGGCCTTTACCGGGTCCGGGCCGGATACCGAGCCGGGTCCTGGCCGAAGCCCAAATGGACACCTATGGTGGGCACTTCTTTTTTTTAAAGAATTTTTTTAACAATATTCATATATTGTTGAAGGTATTTTTAGAAAATTGTCCTATATTTTTCATTTATATCTAGCTACAATATTGATCTATTATTAAAAATATTCCCAAGAAACTCCCCTATATGGAAAAAAGAACTAGAAAAAGGGTTTGCAACTACAATCTTATTTGTCCTTTTTTTTTCATGTGAAACTAACAGGTTTACTATCAAAATTCATCCTTCAATATTCAAAAAGGAAATTTCTTTCGGAAGGTCAGTAAAATTCAGTCTTCTATAAATCCAATTCCTCTATATCAACAAAAGAAGATTAAAATTTAGTCAGTAAAATTTATAGTCTTCAAATTAATTCAAACAATAAGAAAAGTTTGACATAGCGTTACAGGAAAAGTTCTTGCACAATCAAATTAATTGAAACAATAAAAAAATGCATATGATTTCAGGAAAAAAAAAAGTTTACAGCTTTCAGTTTAATTACTCATCTGTCCGACCCTTAGCAAATTTTGTATGAGTAGGGATATTTAGTACTAGCATTTTAATAATACCACGTTACGTCTACACTTTATGGCAACATGAAAATTTGATTTGGGGGCTCCTCTGCCCCATATGCTTGCATAGTTTGAAATACATGTATCTTACACCGAACGGGAGTATCTCAAATTAATATAAATGACATAAACTAGAATAATTCAAGTCAATGATGAAAGCATGCGTACTCTACAGTTTTTTCTTAAAAAAAGAAAATAGAAAAAAAAAGAGGTGAAAAAAGAAAAGAAAAAAAGAAGAAATGAAAAGAACAAAAAGAAAATATAAGCTAGATCGTCCCTTCAAATGGTTTTATAATGATTTAAGCTTTGGAATCAAAATACATTTGGCGACACAAACTTGAAGTGAACTCCACTGACCTTCATGCTTGCGTTAATAAAACCAGCATCAAACTACAACATCCATCACAGAGATTTTCTTTTCAAATCTTCCTCAATAAATCTCTGAAACATTCCAAGGTAGCGAAAATAACAAAAATTTAGCAGTATTTCCTTGACCGTTCTGAGCAAAATTCACACCACTAAGCAAACTTAATACATCTTGCCACTCAAAAAATGATTAGATTTTACTCTGCTAATATAGAAAACCCAGCAGTTAATGCTGAAGAACGCACAAAATTTCACTCTCCACCCGCTCAGAGATATAGCTTGCGCACTCTGTTCATTCCTCAATTGCCAGTTGATAAATTAGCGCCACAATTATGTTGTGTATAGGAATGCCTTGTCTGCAGTTAGCTTCTGCTTGCAGTGGAGAGCTGATAGGTAATCAGTACACACAGGAAACAAATCAAGCATTGACGAGGGAAAAACAAAATCTTACCACTCTAGATTAAGTTATAGGACTACAAATTTAAACGAGGATAAAAACAAGTCATAAAAAAGAGCTGCCTGTTTATGATCTTTATTATTCTCAATGCCAATTTGATAGAATACAGTACTTTACAACAGTTTCATCAAATCAAAAGGAGAATTGGAGTATAAATACCAAAATAAAATTTAATAAATATAATTCAGTATCTGTCCTAACCATCTGAATATGAAGAACTGTTCTTTGCTTCAATAACCTTCCTAATCATGATGTTTTCTGCCAAATACTTCTATATGAGAGAGAGATTCAATGTCATGTAACTGCAATATTGATATTTACATGGAAATAGAACAACACTGTAAATGTTAGTGAGCAAGTGTTAGTAGAGTAAGAGGTATCTGATTTATAATCTGTATGATTAACTTTTGGCGGTAAGGGTACAATCTAAATAAATAGATCAGTTCTCAGCACACCTAGGGAACTAATATGAAACAGCTTCAGCTTTCAGCATACATTGTTAATTGGAGGAAGCCACTTCAACAATTACCAAAGTTTTACATTGCTATCAACCAAAGATCGTCCAAGACACCAGAAACACTGTTTCCAATTGTCCCAAATTAACTAATAATGTGCCTTTCTTCTGGAAAAGCATTCTTCCTAGGATACTTGTGAATCTGTAGTAGTAATTAAAATGAATCTATTTATACAATGGGAGAAATATCATATCATAATAATGGTGATTAATCAACCAAATGTCAAACCTCTGCAAATTAGATCAAATTCCTAAATGAATGTACTTATTATTAAAGACTAGTATTTTTGTTTCATCTGGAATTTTACATTTTACTAGAACTCAAGCTCTTTTCAAAGCTGAAATAGAAACCATAAAAGGCATCCCCATAGATCATATCAAGATAATGGTGATTAATCAACGAAAGGTCAAACCTCTGAAAACTAGTTCAAATTCCTTAAGGAATATACTTATCATTAAAGAATATACTATTTTTGTTTCATCATTTGGATTTTTAAATTTTATTAGAACTCAAGCTCTTTTCACAGCTAAAATAGACATCATGCAAGGCAACCCTAACTCTTAGTTCTTACCTTGAGATAATAGGACCATTACCTAGCAGAACCTCACAAAACATCGCCTTCTGCAACATACAGATTTCTCATCTGTTATGTACAAAAACAAAGCGTCCTGATATATATCCCAGTTTTAGATGGTCATCTATTTCATTTGTATCTTTCGTTCACTGGGTCTTGTTACATGAAGAACTTCTACATTCAAATTTCCTACAACTGATGTAAACACATCTTAGTAGGTGTCACAAATATCAATCTACCTGTTCCTCATTGTTTGGGCATGTCTACAGAAGCCCACATTGTGGCAGGTGGGTGGGATTTAATGGTTTGCATTTCCAGCATTACAATGAATTTAATTGGATTAAAAAAAGTATTATGTAATTGATTACTTGTCCAAAGAAAATTGTGCATGTATTCAAGGGGTATCCAAGGAAGTGTAGGTGCGGGTACAGGTACGGTTCCAAAGTTTAGAGACCGACGTTTTGGGTACATTTGACATATAGTGTACATCCAGTTGCTTTTCAGTAACAAAGTAAGCAAGGTATTTCTTGACCTTTTGTCTTGAAAGTTGAAACCACACTTGACCCAGGAGTCTCAACATAGCCACAAGAGCATAGAGGGGAAGGAAATGGGGAACCAAAGAAGCATGATTTTGAAACCTTTTCTCTCTTCACATACAAAAAAGAAAAATAAATGGGAGTTTACTGAAGAGTACCACCTTAATTTTTACTGTATTGATATCCCAGAAGAAATGCATAGCTTTGAATCAGCTCCTCCACTAACCACACTATCACCTTTCCACCAGTCCACGCATAATACCTGCAATCACCAAGATACATGTCAATATGCTGCTCTATTTGTCTAATTGACACATAAAAAGAGAAAATCACGAACCTTGTCCTTGTGAGAATCTATTACTGCCAAGGGCCACTGCAACATAAGCATTCATCAATGTAGTCAAATTGTTATCATACTAGCTCAAGAGGATTACAATACTAACTGTATAGAATAGGTGAGGAGTTGTACCGCTGTTCTCAAATCCCACAACATCACCTTCCCATCATATGATGAAGAAACCAAATGGAACTGTGAACTTGAATGCCACTTGCAAGCAGTGATCCAAGAAGCGTGAGATGAGAACTGGAAAATGGGAGCCAAAGTTCCTGTATGGCAAAGGTTGTTAGTCCCAGACTGTAAGTAAAGGGGGAATGGCAGATTCTAAGCATAATCCTAAGAAAGTAAACCTGGCTTTCGAGGATCCCATATCCTCAGAATAGGATCTGAACCACCAGCAGCAATGAGTTCTCTGCCTCCAACATCAAGGCAATTAAATACTTTTCCGCTAACCTACACACAACAGTAAGAAAATTGAAGGCCAAGCAGTAGGATACCAGAATATGCAGGATGTCAGTTAGTAATTTCATGAATTGGCAGAGGAAGCCCGTCTGACCAAATCCAAACTTTTAAAGTGCCTAACACGATGTGTGAGTCTGTGCAGAAACAAGCATTGTAGTGAACAAGGGATCGACACCTTGCAAATTCACTTTGCACTTTCATGAAAACTAGAATAATAGAATCCCATTATGACTGAAAAATTAAATAGAAGACACAGATCTTTATCAATTTAAGCATGAAGCTGCACTCATATGCCAAATGTAGGTATATGTCAGATTTTTGTTACTTGTGCTTCATCAAAATATGAGATACCAAGCACAAGCAACCAAATTTTTTGAGGAAAGAAATTTTTTTGTCACTTTCAAATTTTTAAAAAACTAATTTTTTTCTATTGTAGTAAATTAATTTGTGGACCTCGTTGTCCGGTGAGACAACATAAGCCACCTATGCATGCCCATATCCTGCAAGACAGCAAAAATATACATTGACAGAGATTGATCCATTACATAGCCATGGAATTAGGATTCAATGAGGCATGTACAGGCATCAGAAGCCAAAAAAAACCCAGTATGCAAGCATTTGTGCAAAACCAGACACAGAATTATTCTTGTTTGTGCAACATTTTTGCTTTTGTCAAAACATAAAAGTCTATCATGCATAGTACATACCATGTTCCAAGGGCTTTTGCCTGTTTCGACATCCCAACTTCTGATAGAATGGTCCCATGACGCTGAATATATAGTTTCAAGTTCTGGCCAGGTAACTGAAGACACACATTGTGTGTGGCCAACAAAGCTTGACATAGCCTCGATCTGATAACATGAGAAAGTAAGATGAGTTATTACGGCTGAATTTATGCTGTTTAACAAAATCATAAAGAATTCTACAAGAAAGGGCTCAAGACACTACCGCTACTCGAATATTAGAATAGCTACTTACTAAAAGCATCTGGTGATCTGATTATATATATACCAATTTCTCATCTGTTTCACCTTAAATATGGACATTTTTCTATTGAAGATGATTCAACAAAGACACAAAATTAACAAGAACCTTGTATGGATGCCCCAGCATAGCAACTTAGAACTCCATGAATGAAAAAAATTTCTGCACAAAAGAAACTCAGGACTCCAGCAAGACAGATATAAGCAGCAGTTTTTTTGCATCAAACATTTAAAAGAACTCTATTGCCTTACTACCCAGAGTAAATTTCTTGACGACATCAATAACTTTTGCATCCCAAAAAAGTTAACTCAGAGCTCCAAAAAACTACATGCCAACTCCAGTTTTGCCCTATCAACAAGTTAAATAACTCCCTTACATAAGACTCCGTCAACTAAACTATATGATAATGTAGAGAGGAAAACCAAGGAGGAAGAACTGATGTTCATAGGCATCCAAATTGGCAGAACTGAAACTAGCTAGTTGATTGGACAGTTATTAAAATGTGCTCAACTTTAAGTTTCATATTATAATTTATAACATGAAAATAACAACAAATATAATATGTGCCTATGAACATCAGTTTGAAATTATAATGTATTAATGTGTGCCTATGAGGATTTTATTTTTCTTGACGATATCAACAACTTCTGCATCCCAAAAAAGTCAACTCAGAGCTCCAAAAAAAACTACATGCCAACTCCAGCTTTGCCCTATCAAAAATTTAAATAACTCCCTTATATAATACTCCTTCAACTAAACTACAGATAATGTAGAGAGGAAAACCTAGGAGGAAGAACTGATGTTCATAGGCGTCCAAATTGGCAGAACTGAAACTAGCTAGTTGATTGGGCAGTTATTAAAAATGTGCCCAACTTTAAGTTTCATATTATAGTTTATAACATGAAAATACTGGGTGGTACGAACTTATTCCCTTCATTCGACTATCCAAGTTTGAAATTATAACGCATTAATGTGTGCCTATGAGATTTTTATTTTTCTTCTCCTGACAATCCAGGCTGTTACATGGTATACCCTTGTCACCTTAAGGTTATGGGCTAAACTTGCACAAATACTCCCAAAATATGAGGCAAGGTTCTGCATGCCTAAACTTCCCAGGCCTCCAAAATCAGGAGTCACACTAGGCTGATTTTTAATCTTTAAAAAAATTCCTGAGATGCTACCACATAATACAGCTATGAAGATTCACCCCTAAAGATAAAAGTGAAGCAAAGAATAGAAGCCTTATGGGTAAGATGCCGAGCAACAAGGCTTCCCTTGGCTATTCCAAGAAAGTATCGCTGAGATTTGTTTCTTTCCCTGTTTACTTTTTGACTATTAGCGTATGTGACTACTGTCTCTCCCAATGTGTATGGACACTTTGCACGTGTACACATATTTGGAAGAGATACAGAAAGTAAAACATCAAAGCCATGGGCTTCCAAGCTCCTTAGAAGTTTTCCGTTTCAAGTAACTGCATTACTTGCTCTTTCTTTGCTCATTTTTTCCCTCTACTTTCCATGTGACCAAAGACAGCCCATTTGTGTCGGGAAAGGGGGAGCCTAACTGGAGTTATATTGCTAAATATGGATTGCTTTTGAAGTTAGTTTTGGGTTCTTTTTCAGTAAAATATGTGAACACCAGGATATAAACCCACAAAATATTTTGATGTTATCATGTTTATTTTGTACACTTGTTGAGCTAGTGTATAACATCACATCTTCTTGCTTGTGGCATTGTCAACAAACAATTGTTATGTGTTTGGAAAGAAAGATGAAGAATACCTCTGCTTGAGATTCTTCAACCATGTCAGAAACAAGCTTCCTCTTCTTTATCGACACAGAATCACCTTCTACTTCAGAATCATTAACTTTCCACAACTTGACAGAGCAATCCCAAGAGCCTGAGCATATCTAAAAGCATGAAAATAAGGGGTTGAATATATCATAATCTGGTTAGGTAAAAGTTTTGAATTAGAAAAAGAAAAATCTCGAGTCAGAATTACAAACTCTCGATCAGGCAAGAGAAGGTCTACCTTATCTCCTAAAGGTGCTGAAGAAATGCTCTGTACAGAAGCCATGTGTCCATTAAGAACTTTGTATGCTCCAATCTTCATCGGATAATCCACCTTCCCAGCAACATCAAGCTTTGAGGGTATAAAGGTCATATAAGTATTGCACATAAAAACTTAGGCTTTTCACAAGAAGAGATAGTTAAAAACACAATATACCATCCATAGTCTCAATGTCCGATCCTTTGAACCAGTGGCCAAACGGATGTTGCCATTCTCTACTCCTGCTAAGAAAATAAATTTACATCAATAGGCAACTCCCTATGAAGTGCTGACAGAAAGCTTGATGAAGATGTTGATACACACGCATATACTGAACATCATGTGCAAGTTATCAAAATAGATAATAATAAAAAAGGGCGTGTTGAAAAGATAAGCACCCAAAAAAATTAGTGAGGATGAACTAGAAGTATCATTAATTGAAAACTGAGTTATGAAGAATCAACTGAGATAGTAAAAACATGCCATAGAATGATGAACACGTAACTAGTAGGAGTCAGAACCTTTATTGAAGAAGATGCTAGGAGTTGAGTCTAGGGGTAAGACAAAGTACAGACTAACCAGTAAAAAAAGGAATGATATCTCCTGATTGAGCAACAAAAAGGTCCTCAGAAAATCCAAACATAGAAAAGAATGTATGCAGTCAAACCCAAAAGGCAGGGATAAAGGTCATCTCATTGTAGATACAAATATAAGCACAAAATAAATCAAAAGAAGAGCCTTCATAACAGTTTCATATATGAGCCGAATTAATAATTTTGACAATTGACCAGCTTTAGTGATTCCTATAAACTTCAATCGACAATATTGCACCACATCCAATTCTATTTACAGGAAAGAGTCACCCTAATCACAATGAATAATGAATATCAGTATGAGGGAAGTGAAATAACTCTTGCTAAAACAACCTGTAGTATTGAGGATGCTGACAGAAGTAACTGCACCGGTGTGCCCTTCTAAGATGTGTGTACATAATGAACCAGCTTTCCAAATCCTAGAATAAGTAGAATGATACACGTCAGATATATATTTACATCGATTGATTGTAAAGGATGTAAATCGTATAAGACTTAAAAATTTGTACCTTGAAATATTGTCATAGCACCCTGTTAAAATGAATCTGTCAGAAAGAAGAACAATTTAAGTGAATAATTGGCACACGTTTAGAGGAAATTATTATTAAACATGGATAAAGTGCATGTGCATGTGTCTACACCACTTAGATGAATAGACAAGATTGTTTGGTTAAAGAAGAGAATAAATTCAGGAAAAAAAAAGATCAGGCACAATGAAAGATGTATCCTTTTGCGACAAAAAATATAACAAAATAGAAGTAACGGGATAAGTATACATTACGTACTGGCAAATATTGATTTCACATGCCACTAATGTCCTTACAATTGGCCTTATAGGTAGCATCAAACTGATAAGACAATATGACTAAGGTCATGTTCAGACTAGGGACTTGTTTTATCCAAGAACTAATTTAGCTCACTCTAGTCTGGGATATAATAAACCAGCAGATTATAGTGAATTAAATTTTCAATAATTTGTTTGGCTCAATTCGTTATTAACACCTCAAAACCCTATGTCATGTTTGGAAATTTGACATTATCAAGGGGTATAAGATTATGAAATAACAGTAAATGTCAAAAATGACCTTCTTCCTACCAAGGATGAATTATAGCTTCTTAATGATGCAACAAGCAAAGTAATCTCGAACTTTGGTGTTAGACTTTCTTCTCAATTATGTTATATATAATCAATAATTAGGATTATAGTGAACTGATAGATTTTATATTCAGATATTTAAATGAATCATCTAAAAGTTTTTCTTATCAGCTTCAATGTGCATTCTAAATAATTGATCACATTCTCCCTTTTGTTTGCATCTCAGGTTCTCCTCCATTTCAAGGACTCCAGCTTTTATCGTACGCCAAGTTAAAGAAGTAGCCAAGTAAAATCCTTTGAAGCTAGAATCATCTTTAAAGGAGTCTCATGTCAAATATAATGTAGAATAATTAAATATTATAGAACTAACTATTTTTTCATTTCCCATCACAAATATATAGCTGAAATATAATGAGTTCCTGCAGAAACATATGTTTAAACCCAATGTCCTGAACATCTAAACTACACTTGAGAAATTATACTAAAGCTCAAGCAAAGGTCAGACATAGCAAAATGGATTAGGCTTAATGTAGAACCCTAATACTTCACTTTATTGGGCTACACAAAAGTGCATATGGAATAAATATTAATGCTACGGATGCTGCTGTGCGGAGAGCCTACAATGCGAAAGAAACCCAAGAAGCAACAAGAAGAGGTAAAAAGAAGCAGGTGAGGAGTCTTTTAACATCTAATCCCGA